ATAACCGCCGGGTTTTCCCATCATAGCCCCGGGATGGGCTTGCGGTGGTGGTGCACCTCGTGATGGTGCCTGTGGCATTGCTCCATAGGCTGGTGCCGATGCGCTGCCATATGCTGGTGCTGCTGTTCCGTTCTGTCCTTGCGCTGGTCCACCGGTTGGTGCAAAATATCCCGAATAATTGTGAGCTGCATTCGGCTGCAAATATACTTATTTAGGCGCTGAACTTCAAGGACTTCAGCAAAGAAATTAAGCATATATAATGTGCAGAACTTTATATGTATAGGCACAATTATCAGTACTTAAACTATTTCCCAGAAGTCTAAACCAGCATATATAAAAGTAGAATGACAAAAGTTTCCCCAGCTGCATCAATGGTGAGAAGAAACGCGATGATGAAACAATATAAAACTAATCGAAATACCAAACTAAGGTTTCATCGCATGCATTCCCATGCCATCTGCATCAAAAATAAGCTTCTAGATATCTCGGGAACAGGTAAATTTCAATTTTTTGGTCAAATTTCACTGCTACTTAACGAATGAAGGATCGCAGAAAATCTGGCTGTTCCAACGGCGGGGTTGAACCTTCATAATTCATCAAGCGAGGAGCGCTATTTGCCACTATTCTACGCCCAAAACAGGTTCAACTCCAGAGGCAAGCACTGCTCTAAGTTTTCGGATTCCAAGGTTTCTAGATCTACTGAAATTTGGTACTATGGTACTACACGAAGGCTCAAAAAAAGCGGCTCAATGAATTTTAGAATCAAAAATCAAAATTTCCTCCTTATTCATCCTCTCTAAAAAGCTAGGGCACTAAACAAGAAGCCCAAACAGCAACAAATATCAGTAACAACAACCCCCCCCCCTTCCCCCTAGCAAACCCGCCGATGCTGCTTCTTTCGAGTATTACTTATAAACAAACTGATAACGGGTTTGACCCCCTGGCATATGCCACTACCAATTTACCATCGAAACGAATGAATGAATTTAAACTGAGATTGGTTGCCCCAGTGGCGGGGTTGAGCCCCGGCCAATTTACCGCACAATAACACTACTACTTCCCAAAACTCTATGCCCCCGGAACAAAAATTCAAAAAAAGGTGAACGGCAATTTTGTACAGGTATTTTTCTGTTCAACAAAACTAGCTCGATTGTTATCCGAAAAAAACCACACTTACGTCAACTCCAACAGCTGGTACGCCTTGCGGAACAGGTGCGGCAGGTACAGGTGCAGCAGTTTGTTGCGCCACTCCCGGCACTCCACCC